CTGTCACTGTCCTCTTATGCTCACCATAAATTCATAACCGTAAAAATAAATAAATCAAAATCGGTTCATCCATGTTCATATTACAAATAAAAAAATTGTTTTTTTTTTTTCATTTTTTTGCTGTTGTTTTTAATAATTAGGACCGTTTCTCCAATTTTGCTTGCCATCTTTGCAATCAAGGACCATGATGACGATCTTCTCAAAAACGATTGTGGCCTGCAAAGCTAAACCGAATCTTGTTCTGGGCTACTACATGTCCATTACGTTCTGCATGGAGAAGAACTCCCTCTTTCATCCCAAGCTGCTGTGCCAACAGTTTTGTACCACAAAGGCTGAACTCTTCCCTTCCCACTCTGACATAACCAAATTCCAACTCTTATATCCCTGAGCTCACCCTCAAGTTTATCCTCAAGCTTATCCCCAAGTTCATTCTCAAGTTTAGTCCGGGTGGGAGTCAGAAACAGTTTCTCTCTCTCTCTCTCTCTCTCTCTCTCTCTCTCTCTCTCTCTCTCTCTCTCTCTCTCTCTCTCTCTCACACCCGGGGGGGGGCTTTATAATCGGATAAGTATGGATACCTTCATTGAAGTTCATTCGTATGAGACCTACAGCCGAGGATTTCCGAGGGCCTTTTCCGCCACGAGAGAACTCCTTGGAAGATCTTCCTTGGTTTGAGGTTTGAGCTTTGAACAGATAGAATAGCTAGTTATAGTTCCGCAATTTGGCAGCATATATATATTGTCACATATATATATATATATATATCGTCACAAATAGAACTGCCCGGTAAACCGTAGGCAGAGAGAGAGAAGAGGAATATATATATATATATATGTGTGTGTGTGTGTGTGTGTATATATTGTCCTCTTCTCTCTCTCTGCCTATGGTTTACCGGGCAGTTCTGTTTGTGACGATATATATATATATTGTCACATCACTACAAACTAAAAGAGCGCACTTTGCAGAACAAAGAATAAAAGCAAAAAACGGGCACAGTGATAACATGCAAAAATAAAAATAAAAAGAAAAACAAAAAGAAAAAACAAGGGCAGATTGAAACCATTAAATTTCTCATTCTTATTTGAACTCCACCTCCACTGTGCCTCTCACGTGCAAGGCTCGCCACGTTGATGAAGTTGAGCGCAAGCTGCCCCCATCCCCGTATGCCATAACAGCCCACTTGCACGCTGTGAGAGAGGCAGAGTGAMGGGGAAGGTGTTAAACACAGGGAAAAGCTCAAGAATGAGGCTGTCCTTGACGACAGAAAGGACACACATTGTAAGG